AAATAAATCCTGTTACCATTTTTTAATGATACGGCGACTTTTTGTATTTACAGTAAATAAATCCTGGTCTTATGTTTGCTCTCCCCAAGTAAAGGTCAAAAACTGATTTCAGCAGCATTCAGGTTGACGTCCTTCACTTGTGCTTTTATTTGATCAGATTGTTTCTCTGCAGACAGCAACCATAAGACCAGGATTTATTTACCGTAAATACAAAAACAGTCTATTGAAATTTAACTGATCCAAGTCCATAAAAGACTTCAACTGGGTCTGGATCTGGACTCCGGTTTGCCAGTCTGGGACCACAAAACTAAGGTTTTTCTGTGAGTCCATGGACTTGGCTTCATGTTGATGCCTGACATCATATTTCTGATTAAATCAGAACATTTTGTTGTTGCATGTTGCAGACGCAGGATCTGGAAGTTTACAAACATTATTTTGTTAGAGGCTCTAGAAGGCATCACGGACCGGTTTCAGACAGGACAACATTAACACGGACTAAAGAGGTTCCGATTTCACTCAGTCTGGCTCGTAGGTTTGCTGTGAAATAACTGAGCCGAGCACAAATGGTTGTTAGAAAAAATAACTCTGCAGACAAATGCATTTCAGGTATTTACACAGGTACTTTCAGGAAAAGCTTATTGTTTGTGTGTGCCTGGCAGTACATGATCCATGGATGGTCAGTGGTCCACCCAGTGGCTGGACTCTTGCTTCGAGATGGAAATATTCACCTCAATGTTGAGCAGCCAGGTCTGCAGGTTGGCCACAGCCTCCTCTCCCAGAGCCAGGTTCCAGATGACCACGTACAGAGCCTTATCGGTGAAGAAACACTGGTTGACTGTGCTCATGCTGGCCGGACCCCCAACGTCCCACACGTTGAACACCACAGAGTCTCTCTGTGAGGGACAAGAGCACACCTGTCAGACAGACAGAGGGACCGTGCAGTGGCATGTGGTGGTGGGAGTTCCTCACGTTGCTTTTGCTCATGCTGGGTTTCTCCAGCTCCCAGATGAACCTGGAGATACTGCACACTGCTGGGGTGAAGTTTGATGGTTTTCCTGTCAGCAGGGCCTCCAGGAGCACCGTCTTCCCCTGTCTCGGAGGGCCCACCACAAGCATCTTCAGCAGTTTACAAGGCTCTGCTTTTCGAAGATGTGCCCGGAGGAAAGCCAGGACAGACCCAGGACCTGAGAAAACAAACAGGCCACAGTCCAGAGAATAGGAGTCTGCAGGTTTCTGCAAATATGAGAGAAATTCAGTTCTCAGTACATCATCAGCCAGATGCTGACAGGTCAGAAGGAGCCTTTTGTTCTTGTTTGGAGACAGAACGACTGTCAGCTTATCACAGCAGACAACGTCAACTCTGGTAAACAACCTTCAGCTGATTAGATCTGAGAAAAAAAAAACGGAAGGCAGCACGGTGGCACAACTGGTAGAGCTGCTGCCTCTCAGCGCGCAGGTCCCTGGTTCAAACCCCGGTCCAGGGGCCTTTCTGGGTGGAGTTTGCATGTTCTCTCCGTGCATGCGTGGGTTTTCTCCGGGTACTCCGGTTTCCTCCCACAGACCAAAAACATGCATGTTAGGCTGATTGGTAACTCTAAATTGTCCCTAGGTGTGAGTGAGAGAGTGAATGGTTGTTTGTCTCGTTTGTCTCTATGTGGCCCTGTGATGGACTTGCGACCCGTCCAGGGTGTACCCCGCCCCTCGCACAGTGATTGCTCAAAATGGGCACCGGCGACCCCCGTGACCCAAAATGGAATAAGCGGGTAAAGATAATGGATGGATGGATGGATGAAAAAAACGGAAGAAGACCTGTACTGTGAGAGAGTCAACCACGCCAAACTGTTATTCCATCAGTTCCACATCAGAAAATACTGCGCTTTCCGAGAAGCACCATTACAACAGACATGAAACTCCGGTCCAACCAGCCTGAACTTCTGGTTTGTAGGTCTGAAAGAGTTCAAACAGAGCGAGTGTCTGACGAACTAATCTACCTGAACACCCAGCTTGAACATAAAAACCAAACATTCTCTATCCAAACTACGAACTTCCTTCAGATCCATTCATCTAAGACAGTGGTTCCCTAAGCTAGACCCCATTGTGGGACACAAAATACCTAGTGGGGGTCCTGAGAAGATCTACAGAAATAGGATTAACCTTAAAAATGAGTGATTTGTACATGAAGCCCTAACTGTTATAAACAGAAGTCATTGGTTGACGAGGCTCTTTGTTAAATTTGTAAACTTTGACTGGTCAGGGTTGAAGGCGTCTGTGTGTTTCTTAGTCTGTGGATCAAAAGCTGAAAAGTTTGGGATTCACTAATCTCAGGTGCACAGAGACCATCCTGGTCTAGGCCTTCTTTAGGTGAGGAGGTCTAGTGGTAACAACCAAAACCCCCCTAGAACCCGAGGTCCACTACTATGGATGTGTCACAAAAACACAAAACCTAAAGATGCTTTGATGACAAAGTCAACCTCATCATTTGAACAATCTTCATGTTTTACCTCTTGGGTAAAAAAAACTCATGAGATCTTTGACACACTTCTTCAGTTGTGGTCACTGGACAGATTCATAGGGAACCACCAAAGGAACCAGACATAATCCTGGTTTAAGGGAGTGGTTTAAGGTGGGCTGGTTCCATGCACCAGGTTCTGTACCGACCTTGTGGTCTTGGCTCTTCTTCTGACCCACAACAACTCGGTACAAATGACAGATGACCTCTGATTTTAACCTTGGTGTCTCACGTCCAACCTTACCTTCGTTTCTCACGGCCTGGGGGACATTGGAGATGTTGAGGTCTTCGATGTCCAGCTGCCACAGGTTGGGGAGCTGACCGAGTTCAACAGGAAGTTCTCGGATCCCAGGATTTCTGTCCGCCAAAGAGCAGGCCAGGTCAGCAGCAAATATTAAAAAAGAATCATCTACCTATCATCTGAATGGTTGTCATCCATTCTACTGGTTTTATTTGATTGAAAATTATCTACATTAAATGAAGTCAAGATATTCAGCTCTGATAGAACCCCACAGTACTTCAATCCATTTAAACATTGACGATAACATCAGAACGGTTTTGTTTTGGCAAGAGTGCTCACCTGGACAGGTAAAGCTCTGTGAGGTTGTGCAGACTACACACAGACTGAGGAACACACTCCAGCTGGTTCTCATTTAGGACCAGAACTTCTAGTGAAGATCTCAGAAAATCAGGAAACTCAATGGGACACACTGTCAACAAAAAAAAAACAACAAAAAAACAAGCAGAGTCAATTTGATTTGTCGTCTCAGGGCAATGTAAAAAAATATTCATATGCATTATAATAATTTATAAAAGCAAATTAATAAAAGTTATCAATCTAAGGAAACCAGCAGATTGTGTTGAATCTTTGTTTTGTCGCAGTCGCATCCTGAGCAAACACAAAGGCAACAGTGGAAAGGAAAATGTCCCTTTTAACAGGAAGAAACCTCCAGCAGAACCAGGACAAGAGGCCATCTGCTCAACTGGCTGGGGTTTGAGAGGACAGGAAGTAGAAACAGATCAACATAAAATGACAGGTCCAGGTGTAGTTTATTTAGGAGGAAAGACAAAAAAACACGTTAAGATAGAAATAATTACAAGTACAAATAGGTAGAGTAGAGCAAGTAAAGACAACGGCAGAGTGAGGAAATGTGGTCAATTTGTCCCCCAGCAGTCTAAGCCTATAGCAGCATATCTAAAGGATAGTTCAGGAAACCCAAGTCGAACCTAACTATAGAATTTATCAAAAAGGAAAAACATAAGCCTAATCTTAAATGTAGACAATGTGTCAGCCACACAGACAGAAACTGGAAGTTTATTCCACAAGAGAGGCTCCTGAAAGATCTTCCTCCCATTCTGCTTTCTGAAACTCTAGGAACCACAAATAAACCTGCACTCTGACAGCAAAATGCTCTGTTATGAAAATATGGAACAATTAGATCTGTAATATAGGATGGAGAAAAGTTGTTGAGAGCTTTGTAGGTTAGAAGTAAGATTTTGAATTCTATCCTGAATTTGATAGGGAGCCAGTAGAGAGAAGATAAAACAGAAGAAATAGGATCTCTCCTACTAACTCCAGTTAAGACTCTGGCAGCAGCATTTTGGAACAATTGAAGGCTTTTAAAAGAAGTTTTTGGACTCCCAGATAATAAACAATTGCAATAGTCCAGCCTAAATGTGATAAATGCATGGACCAGTTTTTCTGCATCATTTTTTAACAACATGTTTCTAAACTTAGAGATACTATGTAGGTGAAAGAAAGCGGTTCTGGTAACTTTTTAAATGTGGGTGATCAAAAATAACACCAAGTATTTTTTACAATAGAACTAGAAGCCAAATTAATGCCATCCAAGGAGGGCGAAAGACTAAAAAAAATATTCCTAAGATGCTCAAGTCCAAAAACCACAACCTCTGTCTTGTCTTGAGTTTAAAAGCTGAAAATTAAGGGTAATCTATGTTTTTAGGTCTTTAAGACAAGCTAGTACATAATCTAAGTAACTGATTGGATTCATCGGGTTTCATGGACAAATATAACTGAGTATCATCAATATAACAATGAAAATTTATCCCATGTTGTTTAATAACTTTACCTAATGGAAGCTTATATAAAGTAAAGAGCATTGGTCCAAACACTGAACCCTGAGGAGCTCCATGACTAACTTTGGGATATGAAGAAGATTAATTCTTTACAAAAAAAGTTAAATCATGTTATCTGGACAGTTTCTTTTTGGAAGAAATGTTTTGTCTTTCATCTGAAAGACTTCATCAGTCTGAGGCCTGTCAACAAGATCTGTCGTACTAAATAGGACCTTATAGACCTGTTTCTAACCAGTCTGCCGTAGAATTCCCAGAAACTGGCTTTAACTTATGAAATAGCTTAATCAAGGGGGCGTAACACTTAAATTAGGGTGTAAAATCCTAAAGTAAGCAAGAAATTATTGAAATTATTCAAGAATGCATAATACTCAATTTAGGTAAAGATTTTATATGTATCAGGGTCTCTTTCCTTGTTATAAGTCAATTTTTCTTAAATGAAGCATAAAAAAAACTTAAAATCAGCTTAATTAATGGGGTACACCACTCATTCTAAGAAAATATTTCTTAAAGCAATCCTTGCTTATAAGAAGTACAATTTTATTTAATTTTGGACAATTTAGTTTAGTTTAAAGGCACATAGTAGTTATTATTCTTTTTTTTAATTATTATTATTCAATTGCTAGTTTTAAGTATTCTAGCCAAGCTACTTTTGTTTACCCAATTGGCAGATTGTTTTTTTCTCAAAACAAGAACATTTGGTCACATTTAGGAATATATGGCTTATTTCAAGGAGTGTTGTTTTTGCTGTGTGGCTTCTGGATACAAAGAATAAAAATGTTTCACTTGCTTTGTTTAACTAGCAGACTGATGGTCTGAGAGGAAACTGAACCTTCATATATATGTTTTCTGAGTTCTGAGACCGGGGGGGCTAACTAATCTCTGAATCTCCAAAACCTGATAGAACCAAAGGTCCTGCTCCCCATCAGTAACCTGCTGAATGAGACACTCCTGACATCCATGACAGGGAAGATAAAGAGATAAGAACAGAAAAATAGTGAACTGTTACCGAGATGAACCCACTGGCATGAAGATCTTCTTCTGGACGATAAATGATCTCACCTGAACACCAGGTTTGTGTTTAGTTGTAATAGTTCTGAACTCTTACCTGGGTCTGGATCTCTTCTGTTCCAGGTTGTCAGGAAAGCAAGTCTTCTGGATTTGGATCCCTCTTCGGTTCTAAAACACACATACAGTACATTACCAACTCCAGTGGTTCTGGGTCCAACAGGAAATTAGATCATTTAAAAGAAGAAACAATGGGGGAACCCTCTTTATTTATTTATTTATTAACTTTTATTTATTAACCTTTATTTCACCAGGAAAATCCCAATGAGGTCACAGATCTCTTTTGCAAGGGAGGTCTGGGCCTAACATGCATGTTTTTGGTCTGTGGGAGGAAACCAGAGGACCCGGAGAAAAAACTGAATTTGCTGTGTTCGTTCCTCGTTAACTGGTTTTATATTCCCGGTTAAAAACAAATATCTGATTATAAATCCATGATAAGACGCCTCAACAGCTAATGCTGTGAAAGATCCTTTCGTTAATAACATTCTCACAAACAGAACACCTTCAGAGCATCTGTTTGGGTTTCGTGGTCTGAAGGCCTCACAGACCTCAACAAATCAATAAAACAGAATGTTCGGATTTTTCTGACGATAAATTCACAGATGAAACTTTATTTAAAGTTTAGAGAGGAGAACAGAACAACAAACAAAAACAAAGAGTAACCCATGAGTATAAATTAAGACAAAGGTGGAGTCAAGATGGCAGAGTATATTTACTGTCAACGGGGAAGAGGGCGGACTCCAGAAACCATCTTATCATCTAAAACCGGTTGGCCCACTACTGTATGTGAGTAAGTCATTTATGGCACTGAGTCTGTTGTGGCTCCTTGGACTGATGAAGTCCTTTGGATGAAGGACAAAACATTTCAACAACAACAACAAAAAGAAACTGTTCAGAGGATCTGAAATAACTTTGTTGGATTATTTTACCTGGATTATTGAGCATGAGCTTTGATACATTTCCTGTAGTACTGTGTGATGATGGTGCACTACATGGTCCCTTGTTTACAGATATAAACTCCCGTGTTCATCTGTTAGTGATGAGCTGTGATAAAGTGACATTCCAAACAGCATGTTCTGTGGCAGCAGAGCTGAGGGAATCTGTAGAAAACGAGTGTCACTGCCCTTGTAGAGTGTCATGAGGGGGATAGAACGAGATGTTCTTGGTGGAGAGCAGGTTGTCTCTCACCGACTCAAATGTCTCCTGGTTCTGTCCTGTGATTTATCCAGGTTTTAATGAGAGCTTGCTGCTCCCCCATGCCAGATGGCTCCTGGAACCACAGACTGATAAACAAAGTAGCTGTAGGACCAGAACCTCTTCAGAAGATAAGACTCTGCTCAGCTCCTTCTGGGGCACAGCATCAGTGTTGGTGCTCCAGTCCAGTCTGCTTCAGATGGACTCCCAAGAATCTGTATGTGTCCACAGCCTTCAGTTCCTCCCCACGAAGAACGTTTGAAATAATTTCAGCTAGTGCCTCAACAGAGCTTGTCTCTGTTTGTGTGTGTGTGTGTTCGCACGTGTGTACCTACTTGCCCAGTTGGTTCTTTGAGAGGTCCAGAGTCTTGAGCTGAGAACATTTCCACTTATTGGGAGCTGGGAGCGATGAGATGAAGTTCCCACACAACCTCAACGAGACGATGGCCTATGGGGGGAAAAGGGGGGAGAAACTGTGAACCAAATCACCGGGTTCCTCAAGAACTATCAGTTGGAACACGAGGACATCGTGAAACACGAGGACATCGTGGAAAACCCATCATGAACACGCACACCGGAGCTTTTCAGACCTGGTTCTGAAGCTTCTGAGAACTTTTAATCCCAGATGTCTTCTGCTTACTAACCCATGTAGATGATTGTGGATGTGGTGGGGGGAACATTGGGTGAAGGTCTACTCGCTTGCGTTGGTTTAATCTAAAGATACTGACGTTTAGAAAAATCCACACAAGATCCTGTGATGATTCCTACCTCCAGTTCAAAGATATAAGAAGGCAGCTCCTTCAGGCGGTTGTTAGAGAAGTCCACCTCCTTCAGATGAGTCCTCCAGAAGATGGAGATGGTGTCTGGGAGACTCTCAAGTAAATTGGAAGAAGCTTTGCATCGATTCTACAAAGGAGGAGACAAAAAATATAAATTTGTGATACTATGAGGACATCTTTCTTCAACCTTAACATTTTATATGTTAAAGATAAAGACATTTATCATTTCATGATTAGCCGTGGCCAGGTCTTTCTTGGTCAGGTACTGAAAGTCCAGGAGAAATCCTCTGGATGTGGTTGGCCCTCTCCACAGGCAAGCCTTTATCATACAGGGAGTGCTGGATATCATATTTTTCTAAAGTCCAGGGTCAGCTCTTTAGTTTTGTTGACACTGAGAAACAAATTGTTGTCTACATAGCTATTCCACCTCAGCTATGAGATGTTTCATCATCTCTGCTGATGAGTCCCAACACTGTGGGTCATCAGCAGCTTTCATGTCCTGGTTTGTGTTGAATTTAGTAGAACAGTCATGTTTGATCAGAGTGAAGATCACAGAACCGAGTACACCTTCCTGAGGAACCTCTGTGCACCGTCTGATGGAGTCTTACAGTGAACACAAACAGTCTGTTGTCGTCCAGACATGAAGTCCAACACCCAGTTCTTCCTTTTGTTATGAAGATGACAGGAAATTTAACATTTGATTTAATAAATATGCTGAATTCTAGAAATTATTTTATGCATTTATCCCTGGAACATCAAATATGGAGAAGAACTTTTACTTTTCTGGAAAGAATATGAATGAATTAATACAAATAGTAGAAAAAGAGCTAGCTGAGTTTAAAAAAAAAAAAGTGGTTTGATTATAATAAGCTATCTTTAAATGAAAAAAAAAAACTAATTTTATGGTATTTTCAGGTAATCCGATTTATAATAATGTAAAATTACATATAAATGGAGTTGAAATCGACAGAGTTTATGAGACAAAATTTTCAGGTATCATTCTGGACAACAAACTTAATTGGAAGCCTCATATTAAATATATTAAAAATAAAATTGCAAAAACTATTGGAATATTGTTTAAAATAAAATATTTAATAAATGTAAAAGGCTTGCATATTATATACTCTTCCTTGATTATACCCTACTTGTTATATTGCTCAGAAATATGGGAAAATGCAAATAAAACTACTATTGACATATTAATAAAGTTACAAAGAAAAGCAATTAGACTTATTAATAAAGTAGGATATTGTGAACCAACTAATAAACTCTTTATTCAAAGTAATACTTTAAAATTTAATGACACTGTTTACATAAAAATACTGGAAATAATGTATAAAGCACTGAATAGAAGCCTTCCTTCTGGAAGTCAGAAATTATTTAAGTTAAGAGAGAGTAAATATAATTTACGAGGTCTGTTAATATTTGAACAAGCTAAAGAGAAAAGTAAAGTAAAATCTAGATGTATTTCAGTTATTGGTGTGAAACTGGAATGAACTGAATGATGATTTCAAATTATATGTTTTTTTTGGTGAGCTTTAAAAGAGCCTTAAAATGCAAAATTATAAAAGCTTATGGAGATGTTACGGAGATGTATATATGTATTGTGTAACCATGTATGTAATGTGAGTATGTGTATGTATTATCTACATGCATATTTAAATATTTAAATATACGGTAAATGTCTATATGTGTACTTATGTATATATGTAGACAGTAGATATATGTCATTATGTAGACTGCAGAGTCTATGAACAGAGAAGGCAAGTATAAGCCTTGGCTTCAGCCTAATCCTTTTTTGGTAAATAATTGATTTACCATTTTATATTTGATATAGAAATGATTATTTTAATGCTTTTATGTCAATTTATACTTATATTACACTCATTTACATGTAGTTTGGAAACACACTTATACAACGTGTTATTCACATATTAGGGATTGTACTTTGTTTAACATGTCACAAAGACAAAGGGGGGAATGATTTATGTTGCCTTTGTTAATATTTGGGACATTCTTTGATGGTTTGCAGAGGGATGGAGGAGTGTGTATTTCCTCTTTAGGAAGTTTAAGGAGTATTGCTAACTTCAAGGTCTTGGCCCGCCTTGAGGTCACCGTGCTCCTCATTTGTAATAAATCACCAGCTCCTCATCCGTTGTTCTGGTAACCATCAAACTTGTTTTTTTAATGCTCTCACGCGATCCGGTCAGGGAAATGGTATAAGAGGAAGTGTGACAGGCAACTTAATCTTTGGAAGTCCTGTGATGGATCAGCACGCGCTGGTGCCATGCGCCATTTTGATGTGATTCTTCTTTACCTGGGTCGAAAACGACTTCCCGGCCAGTGTCACGGTGAGAAGTTATTTCATATCAATTTGTGTGTTAAGAGTGTACGAGTGTACATGTGTTTTTTGCTTGGCTGTTTTCTGTGGCAGGTTAATAAAGGACACTTATTACTCCTAGCAGTAACAGCCTCTGTCTTTTATTTTTCCTTCTTGTCTGATTTATCTGTGCCGACCGTTCACGAGCCCTTTTGATAAAGAATTTCATAATACAATATTGTTTTCCCTTTTTTAGTAATGTTTTTAATTTACCAAAATAAAGTTGAGTTGAGGATATTGTGTTTTAAATGAAAGAAAAGCAGACCGTGGTCTTTAGGCAGGTGGGGTTCTTACCAGTGGGCAGGCCCAGGGGTCAGGGAACGAGCTCAGTTTGTTCCGGCTCACGTCCAGAGAGCAGAGGGACTTCAGACAGTACATGAGTGATGAGGGAAGACTGCTCAGGGCGTTATCAGACACATCCAGCTCCTCCAGCTTCCGGAGACCGATCCAGTTCACATCTGACACAACAGAATTCAACAAGATGAGTCAATTTCAGAGCCAAACCCTAATTTCAGATGGCTCATGGGACTGGCAGCCTGTTTCAGTGTAAATATTTGTCCTTTTTGGTGTCCTGAAGTCAGAGTAGGAATAAATAAAAACAGTTCTAAGATGAGTTGGAGCGTACCGGCAGGGATGTCAAACAAAACTGTGAGCTGGTTTTTGGCAGCACATAGGTTCTGAAGGTGGATCAGATGAAGCAGTCCAGTTGGTAAACTTTTCAGCTGGTTCTGATAGAGATTTACCTGCTGCAATCTGAGGAAAGAATGAAATCTTTCAGGCTGACTTTTGGCTTTAATCACTGGAGGAGATATTTATCCCGACTGGATGCAGTCAGAAACGTACCTGGAGCAGATGACATCCTGGGAGTTCTGAGCAAAAGGAAGCTCTTTCAAAACATTATCTGAAAGATCCAAAGTTCGAAGGTGGATCAGACCCCAGGGGACCACGGAGGGCAGAGTAGTCAGACTGTTGGACGACAGGTCCAGGTGGGTGATCCGTGAGCAGACGTCCAAGAACCAGTCCAGCTCCAAGAAGGGCAGCTGCAGACCGCTCCAATACACACAAACAGCCTACACACACACAAACACAGCGAATGACTCTGGTCAGTCTGTGATCCTGGTACTCCTCGACCTTACCGCTGCATTTGACACTGTTGATCACAGCTTCCTTATGTCACGGCTAGAACACTGGGTTGGGATTACAGGGGTGGCGCAAGAATGGTTCCGTTCGTATCTGGGTGACAGGAGTTTCTGTGTTAACTTTGACAATCATTTTTCTGCTTCTGTCCCTCTTTCCTGTGGGGTCCCACAAGGCTCCATTCTTGGACCCCTTCTGTTCTCATTGTATCTGCTCCCCTTGGGGTCAGTCCTGAGGAAACATGGTATTTCGTTTCACTGTTACGCCGCTGATTCTCAGATCTATCTGCCTTTAAAACCAAACAGTTCTTGCTCCATCCACTCTTTGCTAAAATGTCTTGATGACATCAAAACTTGGATGGCTGCAAACTTCTTGAGTTTTAATGATCAGAAGACTGAGGTCATTGTGTTTAACCCAAGCTCTGCCACTGTCACTGACCCTGTAAACCTGCACTCCCTTCAGCCACATCTAAAGCAGTCAGTTACCAATCTCGGGGTAGTGTTAGACTCGGACTTTAAGTTTAATAAACAGATCAACTCTGTTCTACAAAAAAGCTTCTTTCAGCTAAGGCAGATAGCAAAGCTTAAGTCCGTTCTATCCAGATCCGACCTTGAAAAACTAGTTCATGCATTTATTACAACCCGGCTGGACTAGTGTAACTCGCTTTATGTTGGGGTTAGTCAGGCTTCACTTTCACGTCTCCAGCTCGTACAAAATGCTGCAGCTCGGCTACTAACAAGAACTCGCAGGTTTGAGCACATTACTCCGGTTCTGTCCTCCCTTCACTGGCTTCCTGTGCATGTCAGAGTTGATTTTAAAATTCTCCTGCTGACATTCAAGTGCATTAACGGCCTTGCACCATCATACCTCTCTGACCTTCTTCATCCTTATGCTCCTTCTCGGGCTTTGAGATCATCAGACCAGCTTCTTTTGGCCGTACCAAAAACCAGGCTGAAGCTCACAGGAGATCGAGCGTTCTCAGTCGTGGGCCCTAAACTTTGGAACAATCTGCCCATCAACATTCGACAGGCCACCTCAGTCTCTGCTTTTAAATCTCTCCTAAAAACTCACCTGTACTCACTGACATTTAACACAGGGTGATTGGATTTAGATCTAGTTTTTCATTGATGCTGATTCTGTTTATGCTTTTGTTATTATTCCTATTTAACACAAGGTCATCAGATCTGATTTAGTATTTCATTTTTTCTAATTATGTTTTCGGTTTTATATTTTTATTCCATGTGCTGTAAATATATCTTGCTACTTTTTATTTGATGATGTGATATTTTTGTTAAGCACTTTGGTAACAGTTTCTGTTTTAAATGTGCTCTATAAATAAATCTGACTTGACACACACACACATACACGAGCATTCAGGACTGCAGCTGTGAATGTTTTCTGAACAACCTCAAATCTTAAGACAGAAGAAACATAAAAATGTTCTCTTGAAATCAGGAGTGTAGGTTCTCAAAGGATTAAAAACCTTGATCAGTTTGGTTGGGCTCTCTCTGCATTTCTTCCCAGCAGCACCTGCTTCAGCACCTACAGCGGGGAACGTGTGGACCTGGACAGTACTTTATGAGCCCAGATATATACCAGATATATACGGAGCGGGGGTACGATCCGACCAGCATCTGGTTCTAAAGTTACAAATCTTTCATTCCAGTTAGAAATATTTCAAACAGTAGTTTGATCATGTCAGGCTGATGAAGGATGGAAGCAGTAATGGTCTGTAAAGGTCCATAAATCACCAACTGTGTAAACCAGTGTTCTGGTCCCTGAGGAGCCGCCGTCCTGCAGGTTTTAGATGTTTCTCTGCTTCATACACCAGGGTTCTGGTCCATGAAAATCACAGAACCACCAGGAGTGTTGGAGCAAGTAAACATCTCAAACCTGCAGGACAGAGGTCCAGGAGGAGTAGGACTGGACACCACAGTTGCAGAACTGCTGGGAGACTACTTCAGTTAGGGTTGGGGTCAGGTTTCTGGGTTTAGGACTTTAGGAGACTTTGACAGATCAGGACTTCAGTTCAGGTCCAGTCTAAACTCTATACGAGAATCAAAATGAAACATTTGGAAGCTGCATTTGTGGAAAAAAAAAAAAGGTCATATAACTCTGCAGGAAATCGTTTCCTGCAGCGTGCATGTTCACACAGGTGTCACCTGGAGAACACCTGGTCCAACAGGTTCCTGCTATCACTGAAACCTGTCAGAACCACAGCCCTGAGTTCTGGACACGGACCTCCTCTCCGTTTCCTCCAGTAGTTTCCTGTAGTTTCTGTCTGAGCAGACGTTTGCTGAAGTCTGGGAAGTCCATCAGAGTGTACGATGAGAACCCTGCTCCGTTCTCCAGCAAGAAGTGAGCGATTTCTTCATGACCTGCAGGACAACACATGATGTTTAGTCTCAGAGAGGAAGGGGTGATCCTGAGCCTGCACTCAGGCTGGGAATGTCTCCTGATCACTTAGTGCCAGGACAAAAACAGACGCTTTGCTTTTAAAGATCATTTCTGAACAAGTTCCTTTAGATGTTCCACGTTCTGAATTAGTCAGTAAGGGAGATGGTTCCTTGGCTGCAGCAGGAACATCTTCCTCCTCTTCATACTTTGAGCAGCACTAATGTTTTCTTTTTTTCATAATTCAAGTGGATTTAATTTATTAAAAAACAATGAGAAATCTGAAGCTACAAATTTTGTAAAACAACATCTGTGTCAATGCCTGAACATCTGGCATGACCGAACACACAGCAATGAGCTGAAATCCACGAGGAGAGCATGTAAAGGCCCCCTGGGGCCACAGGGAGAGCATGTAAAGGACCCATGGGGACAGTATGTAAAGGACCCCCGGGGAAAGCATGTAAAAAGCCCCCCAACGCCACGGGGAGAGCATGTAAAGGCCCCCTGGGGCCACGGGGAGAGCATGTAAAGGCCCCCTGGGGCCACAGGGAGAGCATGAAAAGGCCCCACGGGGACAGCATGTAAAGGCCCCCCGGGGCCACAGGGAGCACATGTAAAGCCCCCCCGACACCACGGGGAGAGCATGTAAAGGCCCACTGGGGCCACAGGGAGAGCATGTAAAGGCCCCATGGGGACAGCATGTAAAGGCCCCCCGACACCACGGGGAGAGCATGTAAAGGCTCACTGGGGCCACGGGGAGAGCATGTAAAGGCCCCACGGGGACAGCATGTAAAGGACCCCCGGAGAGAGCATGTGAAGGCCCCCCGAGGCCACGGGGACAGCATGTAAAGGCCCCCTTGGGGCCACAGGGAGAGCATGTAAAGGCCCCCCCCCGAGGCCATGTTCAATGGTCCAGTTCTTTACCACACTGCAGCTCCTGGTTCGCCCCGTAAACATCAGGAAACAACTAATAACAACAATAAACAAACAAGTTTGTTAAATATAAGAAGAATGATGCTACATCTTCTGATGGCAATTAATGACCTGCCACCATCAAAGGTAGGGAGAGCATGTAAAGGCCCCTGACGTCTTTACATGCTGTGTCTGTTTGCAAAATATCTCATGCACCACTGGATGGAATTAAATACAACTCTCAGACAGTAAACACTGGATGTATGTCTATAACTTATTATCTTTTAGAGTCAACCCATTCAAAATGGCTGCTGCAGCTAAGGTTTGGCGTGGTAGTAGCTGAGAGTCACACAAGCCCTCAACATTTAACAAAACATAGGAAGAAGCTTCTTTTCTTGGACTTTTAGGCATAGTTCTGAAGTAAACTGGTCTGATTGCTTCTACCTGCTCGAGCGGCGGCGTACAGCGGCTGTCCGGTGATGACGGCAAACTCATTACTGTGGACGGCGAAGTCTCGGACGTCTGCATCATAACCCCTGACGAGCAGACGGACCACGTCCAGGTGACCCTGTTGACTGGAAGTGACCAGCATGCAGTTCACCAGCTCTTTCCTCAGACACACACCTGGAGATAAGAACCCAGACGCAGGTCGGATGAGAGGAGGAGGAATCATATGAGCAGGAACTGATGGAGCTGGGCAGCAGGTCCCCCAAGACCCGATCCACGATCAGACAAACAGATACGGCTCCAGCTGTGAAATCATTTTTATTTCTGTACCTTCACATCTGAAGGTGAAACTGTGAATGTTTAAACTGCACCAGAACCACCGAACCATAGATCCATGACAGAAGAGACCAGCCGATCAACGGGCCATGACTGTGATGTTCTCACCAGGAACAGAATCCAGAAGCTCTTTCACCAGGCTGGTAGAACCACACTGAGCTGCCAGAACAGCTGGGTTACTCTGTGACGGTTCCTGGGGTAACGTGATCCGGGCTTCTTTCAGAAGGTACCGAACGCTCGTCAGGTCTCCGTGCTGAGTGGCTAGAGACAGGAGATGGACCTGCAGCCAAACACACAAGAACTTTCAGTAAAACATGTGACCCTTCACACCCAGAACAAAACTGGTTCATGGTTCTAAAGTGTTTCAGCAAAATATTAATGAAGAACTGGTTCCAGCACTGATCCAACAGAACCTCCTTCAGCAGCAGAACCCTCCGTGGTTTTCTGCAGGACCGTCAGTCTCTCTCATGGTTCTGGGGGAGTTCTGGCCCAGTCTTCTCTCCAGCGTTGCTTCAGTTCATTGAGGGTTCTGCTTAGCTTTCTGAAAGTCCCAGCACAGAGTCTCAGTCTCAGGTTCTGGACTCTGACTGGACTGATGCGGTACCTTGGTTCTGTTAGATCAGCTCCTGCATTTGGGATTATGGTTCTGTTGGACCCAGTTTGGTCCAAGCTTCAGCTGTTGAACAGAAGGACTCATTTGACTCCAGAACCCTTTGGTCTCCAGAGGAGTTCCTGGTCCACTCAATGACTGACAGGAGCCCAAACCATCAGCCCTCTGCCACCATGCTGACAGCTGGGAGGAGCTGTTGCTGCAGTGCATGCTGGGTAAACATCTGTAGGCTGGACACAGTTTTCACTCCCAGCTTTAATGATTTATTTCTGTTAATAAAGAATGACTCGGTGGAACCTGATGAGTGTTTTTGTTCACTTCAGGTCCGATTTGGATCTTTTAGAACCCGATAAAGACCAGATGAGTTTGATCAGGTCCTGAAACCCTGGAAATGAGGGAGGTGGACTTGGTTTTTCAAGAACTTTACACAATGTTTTTATCTTTACAGATACATTTTAATATGTGTTTCTGACATGGGAACGGTGTATCTTCCTGTCCGGGTTGTATCAGACCACTTCAACAGTTTATTTATGGACTTTTGGTTCAGAACCGAGTAGAGTTCAGTTCAGACTTACTCCATCAGGATGGATCCCAGCAGAACACTCCACACAGCAGGCCTGCTGAATCAGCTCCCTGGCAACTTCTTCGTCTCCACGTTCATACGCTGCTTCAATGTTCTCCAGAGACGAAGGAAGAACCGCTTCAGGGTCGGAATCAGTGGTCTCCACCGGTGGAGCTCTGGCTCCTGTTTCCTCTCCGGTACCTGATGGGCCAAAGACAGGAGAACATACAGAGTGATAAAACAGCCCATTCATTCCTAAATGTCCTCAGTGTTCTCAAATCAGCTCTGCTGATTGGATCAGAACCATCAGAACACACAGTGATGGTGTAGGTGTAACAATAACTTCACACGCAGGTTCCTTCGGTTCAAACCAAAAGCCTGATCCATCCTCACATGGAAACATCCCCACCCTGCACAAAAAAAACAGGTCTACAAAACAGCATCAAAGAGCTCCAAACATCTGTCCAACACATGGTCTAATTCTGTCCAACACACAGTCTGAAGGTCAGACTCTGTCCAAGACACAGTCTGAAGGTCAGACTCTGTCCAAGACACAGTCTGAAGGTCAGACTCTGTCCAAGAGATACCATACCATACCATTTTATTTATGTTGATGATGATTTATGAGATGGTCTGACTATGTCCAACACAGTCTGTAGGTCTGACCCTGTCCAAGACACGGTCTGTAGGTCTGACTATGTCCAACATACAGTCTGAAGGTCAAATTCTGTCCAACACACAGTCTGAAGGTCAGATTCTGTCCAACACACAATCTGAAAGTCTGACTCTGTCCAACACACGGTCTGAAAGTCTGACTCAGTCCTAGACATGGCCTGTAGGTCAGACTCTGTCCAACACACGATCAGAAGGTCTGACTCCGTCCTAGGTATGGTCTGTAGGTCTGACTTTGTCCAACACACAGTCTGAAGGTCAGACTCTGTCCAAGACATGATCTGAAGGTCTGACTCTGTCCAACACATGATCTGAAGGTCT